AAAAATGTCGCTCGCAGCTCGTCCTGAGCCAAACCCGGGCGTGGAGCAGGCACGTGAAAGTGGGCGTCGAGAAAAAAAAAGGAGAGAAAAGAACAAACAAACATTGTGTCCAGCTGCCCACCTCCCACAGCCAAATGACAAACAAAAGAGTCTGACTGGAGGAAACTGCAACAGATTAACCGACAGGAAAGCAAATCGCTTCATCTAAAAGGTTTGCATCGACATTACCGTCACTGCACTGTGAACATCTGATGCTGAGACAGAAAAAGGTTCAAAAACAAAACAAACGGACTTTTATTCTGAAGTTGAAGATGTTTCGCTTCCTATCCAGGCGACTTTCGCAAAAAACGATTGTTTCATCATGACCTGGAGGACTGAGACTCTTCACCAGCATTTGAGGATAAATGGTTGGAGAAAAGTCGGAAAAGGTTTGGTGTAGGGACGTCCCGACTAGGGTTGGGCAATATTAGCAAAAAAATTAATCACGATTAATTGTGGTATTTAGCCAATAACGATTAATTTGACGATTAATCCCCTGGAGTCCCTGGACACCCTTATTTCCTATTCACATGACCAATTTAGTGGGAAAGATTTGCTCTTTATAAAAAATTGTTCCAAATTGTGTGAAAATTACAGATTTCAGGCTATACATCATATGTAAAATTGTGTTGATAGATAAATAAATTAAAGAACTTTATTTTTAATGTTTGTCATATTTGAAGCAGAGGAGGAGCACCGAGCAGACTGACCGGAGTAATCAATCTGCCTGGTGGCATTAATCGTATTAATCATCAAGTGTCAAAAAGTAATCGATTGTTTTTCCGACGATTAATTGCACACGATACGATTATGCCCAACCCTACTCCCGATACAATCAGATTTTTTTAATGATTAGTCTTTCCGATACAGACAGCTTTATTTCTTTCCAAGTGACAAGGTTGGTAGTATTAAAGCGAGCCCTGCTGATTCCACCACGAGAAACATCCAGTTTGCAGATTTTGCAAGATGCAGTTTCAGCATCATTGTTTCCCATTGAAACGTGTTCCCACACTGTGGACATGGTTGCATACTTGTGCGCGTCTTGACTTCTTAACGGCAGTTGTAAAGCATGATGATGCCAAAAACTGGATCGGCCTGATCACATGACTGAATCTGATTCTACCAGATTTTCAGAAAATGGCCACATCTGCCACCGAGTATCTGACCGGGACATCCCTAGTTTGATGCAGAATGCAGCTACGAAACAACTTCAAGCTCAACTTCACTTGGTTTCTGTGATGAGCCGGGACAGCCAGCCTCCACGCTCTCAGGATTTTTATTTTTATTATTATTATTATTATTACTTCTCGTTAGCTCATCCGCCCACCTCGCCGAGCTTCGCTTCACTTCACTTCACTTCCCGCCACATGACACGAGATCCACTCGCAGCCTAAACTGTCACAGAGGAGCTGGCTCCGGTGGCGTCACGCCGTAATCCGACATGTTCCGGCTTGCGGCGGCTCCCCCGAGCAGCGAGGGAAGAAAAAAAAAAACTTAATAACATGTTTGTCGAGGGAGAAGCTTCGCCTGTAATAAACTGCAATTAACTGGACAGGGCTGTGTTGCTTCAGCAGGTCTCGCTGGGTGAAATGTAGCGCAGCCTGGAAACTGGAGGAAAGAAAACGACAGAAACTTTTAGACTCACGTTCTGCAACAGTAACCCAGATTCTCACACTTCTCTGGATGCAGCCTGAGGAGACCGTTTCTCATTTCTGTGTAACGTCTGGCACAGGGAGAGGGAAAATATCGCAGGAATTCGCTCTGGTTTAGGAGTGGAGGACGACTTCAGGGCGCAGGTTTGCACAACAAGCCTCGCTCTGTTAATCATTACTTGGATTCATTTTATTTTATTTTTAATTCTTTGCTGTTTGACCCGCGCTGTCTCCGAACAGAGCGCCCACTCGGCCGCCCCAGCGAGGCCTGAACTGACGACGGGCCGCGGGAACGTGTGACGATCACAGCTGAAAGCGCCGCCGCTGAAGAAGACGAATCCGAGGATGTTCGGCCTGCTGTCACACCACCAGGAAGCACGTCAGTCGCCCGGCCTGTTCCACCGTGCCTCTTCAAATTCTGCTCCGTGCAAAAAGACCACTCCCTTTTGAGGATTAGGGGGTTAAAGCAAAAATATGTGGGAGAGGTTTTACGGGTTAAAAAACCAACAACAAACATTCCTGGGGAGAGAAACAGACAGTTTCTGCAAAAGCATGGAGGAGATGGAAGGTAATATGTGCACCACGGTGTAAATATTAACTTTTTCTGCTGTTTTGATGACTGGTGCGCTCTGAGGCAACAGGAGGGTGAGAATGCAGAACCAGATGAACACAGGGTGGTTATTTGAGGCCATCTGAGTGCAGCGTAGTGGGCGTTTGAGCTGTTTGAGCTGCAAACTGAAACAAAACACATTTACGCCAAGGCCGCGCTTGAAAAAGAGATCTGAGATCTCAACGGGACTTGCCTGGTAAAATAACATTAAATAGATAAATTTGTACTACACTTTACCAAATACTGCCGTTGGAAAGAGTTTGCTGGTGTGCTGATTTGTGATTCTGGAATGCGGGTATGCGATCAATGTAAACAAACCACTTTTTAGTTGCATATCAATAAATCTGATCATTGTTGACCTGTTTTTAATCACTTCAGCTGTTTAAACAGTTAAATGTTTTTTTTTTTGAGGGCATTAAATGTTTTTTTTTTATTTTTATTTGACCAGACTTTATGAGTGGCTTTAAATAAATATACATGCAGAGATGAGAGGAAGTAATTTGGATAAAATACAGATATTTTATGGGTGTAAGTTAGCTGTGATGTGAGGTAAAATACTCCACACACATCAGGCCTCAGCTGCAGAAACTCCCCGTCGTTATGGGCCACCAACCAGCCAAACAAGCCGCCTGGAAACCGCCCTCCACCCTCCAGGAAAAAAAACCCTCATGAAGCCGAAATGTCTCCGCACAACCTCACACAATGTGGCGCCCCGTTTCCGCTCAGAAAGGCCGAGCTTTAGGAGTGAAAGCCGTTAATAAAACCTGCTCCTCACATGGAGCTGAAACTAGGCCCGTGCTCGGGCTCTGACCTCCACTGCCATTTTCTTTCAGCCCCGCCGCCTCCTCTTCCTCCTCCCAGCCCCAGCTCGACCCGACCCGGGCTTACCTTCCGCTGCTGCTTCTCCCAGGCTGGGTCCAGAAGCAGGTCCCGGTCCCAGTTGTCCTCCTGCTCCATGTATTGGTTCGGCCCGCCGGCGGACGGCTGGTTGTTGGCAGCGTGATAATCTACCATGTCAGCAAAAGAAAACCTGAGTTGTGCCGCAGAGACGAACTGTCAGGGGTTCGAAGAATTAACAGAAAAAAAAACACCGAAGAAGAGGAGGAGGGGGGCGGGGGCACGAAGACGGGATCAAATCAAATCGGTGGGGTTCGATACAGGAGCCAGAAAAGTGTCCTTGTTCGTGTCTCCGCTTCCAGTCGAGTCTTCTTCGTTTTTCTGACGTGATGAAGGTCCGGTGTGCGCAGCCAGAGGATCCCGCTGCCGCTGTGAACAGAGCCTCCGTGTGAGCGGTGTGGCTGCTGGGAGCTGGGAGGAGGAACACGCCGCCCCTACGGGCTGCACCGACCCCGACAAGCAGGGCGCACCGCGCAGAGCCGCTTCCGGTCTGACCCTTCAAAGTAAAGGC